TTATTATAAGCTGACCGTTGTGAATCGGGCTAAAGTAAGGCGATAGTTTTGAACACTGGCTGGTTATGTACTTGCTCAAATATTGATTTCGGATAATTTTTAACCAAATGAAGTTACGGACTGCAGCTTTTCAAGTTAACTATTAAAAAGAATAGCTGAACATAAGTTCACAAATAAAATATATTGTTTAAATTGTTGCTGCCTTGTGTTATTATTTTGGAATAAATGTAAAATGCTTAACTTGATGAGACTCATACTTAGCTTTAATAAATAGAATATTGATTACATTGTTAATGTAAAAATATATAATAGAAAACTTTGAGAACTTTGCCTCATTTTATATATATATATATATATATATATATATTCTGTTGGACATAACTTGGTTGACATAACTTGATGTGTGTGTTGCCCTTTCTTTTCTTTTGTCCTCCACAGAGAGAAGTCCATCAGGCAGTGCTTTTGGCAGCCAGGAGAACCTGCGCTGGAGAAAAGACATGACTCATTGGCGTCAGACCAGCGAAAAGATGGACAAGTATGATTTTATTTAATATATTAATTTATTTTTATTCTTTTTACTTCTTTTTGTTTAGTGTGTTCCTGAGCTAAATTTAAAGTAGGGTGAACTTTTACTTCCATTTCAATTATGTAATGTAACTGATACAAGTACAAACGTTTTAATCTGGTCAGATAAGTCCAGTAGTAAGTGTGTAAAAAAAGAAAAAAAAAATTATAATAATAACCCATATTTCTCCATATTTATACAGAAACAACCATTAACCGTTTGACTTCCAATAACCCCTTTATTTGGCCTTGTTCTTTCATGTACTGTGTATTTAGGGGCCAGAGATCAGTCAGGTATTGTACAGCTGAAGTGTGTTTTGCTTTCAATGACCCTTCCTTGGCTTCAGACCTGAATTTTAAAGCCCCTCCTCCTCTTGCTTTGGTTCTGCTCTCCTTTACTGGTGCTTGGATTGGTCTGGATGCAGTTATTACTGACCACTGACCAGAATCTGATTCAGACCAATAATTGTGTGTTTATTTGGGAAGATGGAGTAGGATGCAGCTTGGATGACGTGATTCTGTTATAACCAGTTTGTTTATAACAAGAGTGCAGCATGGCTCTTTAACCAGCATCTCAGGTCCAAGATTTAGCCATAAGGGTGCATATACATGTAGAATGTGATTTCAAAATTTAATGTAGTTAACCTAATATTCACTGTCACGGTAATGAGCTATGAGAAGTATATTTTGTAGTTGTCATATTGCTCTTTAACTTCTTTTCCAAGCACATTCTGTATCCAATTGTGATTTAATTTGGAGAATTAACATGGTGGCAGTTGTCCTTTGTGAGTTCAGTGGTTCTCAACCTTTATTCCTCCATGATCCTAATCCTAATAAAATAAAAATAATATAATGAAAAATGTAAAATCATGTTTGAAACATTTACTTGTTAACAGAACATTTTTGTTGCTTGTGTTCGACTGCCACATTATTTTCATCATATTCATGTGACACAGAGCTGCTTAAAACCTTGTAAAACTACAATAGTTTCTTTTTTTCTTTGTGTGTGTGTGATAAGGAATATTTTGTAGTTTTTCATGTAAAAGTCATGTATTTTGAGGGGAAAAAATAATAATTGGGGAGAAAAAGTTAGGGGGGGAAACTACTATTACAAAATATAACTTCAATAAGATTTTGGCGGAGAACTTGACTTTGATATCGTACTATTTGACTTTATTCTCATTTGTCTTTACTTTAAATTGCTTCATTATATATTTTTAAATAGCTTGTATGAAAAAATGCCTGTATGAAACCATTTAGTTTAAACAAATGTTTTGCAATTGTGTTAGAAGTGCTTAACACAACACAATGAATGAGAATGTTTAAGAGTATTTTGTCTTGATGAGATGCAGTGTTTGCTGGTGTCACTTAGTATTTCTCCACAAAGAATTGTCTAGGTTATGTACTATAGTGAAAGCTTTTGTTTGCCATTTTAAGTTCTACCTGGCACATTGTAGTATTCATGTTTTTCATTGGAGTAAAAAACTCATCCTTTAGTTAATCCAACTTCATATGTAGTGATTAAAGTATTTTGCTGCTGTTTTTCTGAAGCCCCTTAGTGGGTCGTGGCCCTTCAGTTGAGAACCACTGGTCTTAATTCATTTAGTTATATTGAAACATTTTGCTGATGGTAATTGTTTGATGCCATTGAATAACAGGCCTGATTCTGTAATCACTTGGCTCCCTTTTTCAAAGGGGCAAGTGCCTGGCAGTGTGGGTGCTTCCGTACAATTCAACACTTTTTTTTTTTCCGTGGACCACCCCCAGGGAATTCATATTACTGTGGCCCCTTTTAAAATGCTACTCTAGCTCCTGGAGCCCCTGTGTGCAAACTGAATTTCAGTATTAAATTGCATTTAAAGTAAACCTGCGGGGGGGGGGAGCATTTTATGATTTACCTGTGGGGTCTAAATTGAATAAATGACAATACTAAATGCTAAAGTTTAATTTAGCATTTAACTTGTAAAAAATAAAGTATCTTGATGAGTAAAGCCTAACCACGGATTGCACAATATATGTACACAGTGAACCTCCAGTTGCAGAGTTGCAGTTAAACAATACAGTATTATGCTACATTTTCAAAAACCTTTTAACAACAGACCACCCTCTCTGCTTCTAACAATAATCAGCCAAGTCTGTGACAGGGCGATGGCTCTCTCCTTCCCTATGAAGGGTTATGATACAGCTGTTTGTGTGTGGCATCTTTTGAATGAATCATGTACCACACAGGTTTAAGGGAATCCCTCTGCACAATGGGAGAAGCCAGGTGCCCTTCTTAGTTAGGTTTGTAAGCTCACTAGGATATGCTTACACATCTACAGTTCACGGGAATCGTTAAACCTCTTTTCATCAGGCCAAACTCAAACCTACAAAGATTAGGTTATAGAACATTTATTTGTTTGTTTAATTTTTTTGTTAATATTTAGATATTTGTTTTTATTTTTTTTAATATTCAGTGCATTAAATATTTTTGTTGCTATTTTATTTCATTTTATTTAATTCAAGTTCAAGTATATATTTTACAGATTAAAAACAATGTATTTATAGATTTTTAAATATGTGTTTTTATAATATTTATATATTTGTATTTAAATATTTGGTTTTAATATTTACATATTTAGTGCATTTATTATTATTATTATTATTATTATTAAGATCATCATCAAAATATAAAGTTTAAGTCCATAGGTAAAAATTCTGGCCTGTACTGTACAGATGAGAACTTATTTATTTATTTGTAAATATTATTTAATAATAATAATAATAATAATTAAAGTGTAAATATTAAGTCCATATGAGTAAAATCAAAGTCTGTATTGTATAGATTAGAGCTTTTTTTATTCTGTCATTATACTTTTTTAAAGCATAAAGATTAATGTAAGTAATGTATATAAGTCAAAGTTTAGGTTAACATTTTAAGGATTTTTACAACAAAGGCAAGGACAAAATATTACTCAACTATGTACAAATGGATCTAAATATTTGGTCTGTATGCAGAAGAGATCCTTCATCTGTATACACTCACTTGAATGCTTGTGTGGAGATTGCTGTGGCATTCAAGGATCCGCTTGCTGTTTTACCTGCCATATTGCACCATTCTAAACATTCATTACCCCATTGTTTGTCAGGACCAGGGCTGAGCTGGAGCATGAAGCAATTATTGATGGCAACCTGGCAACTGAAGCTAATCTCATCATATTGGATACGCTAGAAATAATAGTTCAGGTAATGATCTCAACTGCTATCAGTAACTCTCAATATTTTAACACAGAAGACATTTATCATAACTATTATGGTTCCTCTATGTGCCATGTAGACGGTGTCAGTGACGGAGTCCAAAGAAAGCATTCTGGGAGGGGTTCTGAAGGTCCTGCTACACAGCATGGCATGTAATCAAAGTGCCCTATATTTGCAACACTGCTTCGCTACACAGAGAGCTCTCGTGTCAAAGGTGAGTGAACGCTGATCAGGTCAAAGACCAGAATTTTGAATTGAGTTTGTATTGAACAATTTAGCTGCAGCTGATCTACGCAATTTTGCTTGTTGATTACTCTCTTTAAATTAAATAGTGTAGCTTTTATTTATGAAGTGTGGTCTCTTGTGGCAGTGTATAAGTCTTAATGTGTGTTTAGTTTCCAGAGCTGCTGTTTGAGGAGGAGACCGAGCAGTGTGCTGACCTGTGCCTGCGGCTCCTGAGGAATTGTAGCAGTAGCATCAGCACCATCAGAGCCCACGCCAGCGCCTCCCTCTACCTCCTCATGAGACAGAACTTTGAGATTGGAAATGTGAGAAACACTTATCACCATAAGTATTAGTGGATTGTTTGCACCCTTCAGTTCTGTACCACAATACCACATAAACAAATATGCCATTTTTCATTTTTTGCATGATTATATTATTTAATACAATACTATTCAAAAATGTACACTAAAGACATACATTAATGTTGTGAAATTAATAGAATTAATAGAATATGAATAGAATTTAACTTATTTGTATTTTAATATATGTTAGAATATAATTTATCCTTGTGATAATTTCAGCAGCCATTACTCCAGTCTTCAGTGTCACATGATTTTGCAATGTGCTGCTTGATTTTTTTTTTTTTTTGAAAACCATTTATTCAGGATTCGTTAGTAAATAGAAAGTTCAAAAGAGCAGCATTTACCTGAAATATAAATATTTTGTAACATTTTAAGTGTTTTTACTCTCACTTTTGATTAATTTAATGCATCCCTGCTGAATAAAATTCCCTTAAAAAAAATTCAAAAAATCTTCTGAACTCACATTTTTGAACAGTAGTGTATATTTATAAAATAGTATGTATGTATGAGTACATACATATTATTTATAAATAGATTATATATAGATATGTATATTAAATTATAAAAATAGATATGTATAAACTATGTATTGTGTATATATACTAAATATTATATTTGTATAAATATTTATTACTTTAATTTTTTTAACCGTATTTAGTCTCGGTTTATAATTGTGTGTGTTTGTTCTCTTTTCTGCAGAACTTTGCACGAGTGAAAATGCAGGTGACCATGTCTCTTTCGTCTCTGGTGGGTACATCCCAGAACTTCAATGAGGAGTTTCTGCGGCGTTCACTCAAGACCATCCTCACATATGCAGAAGAGGACCTAGAGCTCAGAGAAACCACCTTTCCTGACCAGGTGAGGTTCATAAATCTGTTTCCACCATCTATTTACTAATTCCTGACACAAAACACTGATTTTGTCTCTGGTTTCAGGTTCAAGATCTGGTGTTTAACCTTCACATGATTCTTTCGGACACAGTAAAAATGAAGGAACATCAAGAAGATCCAGAGATGCTAATTGATCTGATGTACAGGTATTGTTTCTTACATTGCAGAATGGATTTAACATCACATTGTTATATTAAGAGAACCATTTAATGTATTAGATACACTATTTGACATGAAGTTAACCTAACATGTAAAGTAGCTAGTTTTAAACCCATTAAAAATTTCATAATTGTAACATACTATTTATGCTAAAACTATTATTTATTTCGTTTTTAATTTAATTTTCATTTAATTTTCATTTTTAATAAATTATACACTACCATTCCAAAGTCACAAGTGACATTAAAGATATTTAAAATGTTACAAAAGATTTCTATTTCAAATAAATGCTTTTCTTCTGAACTTTATATTATTTAAAGAAAATGAATTGTATTTTCCACAAATATATTAAGCAGTTTCTTGAGCACCAAATCAAAAAATTAGAATGCTTTCTGAATGATCATGTGACACTGAAGACTGGCGTAATGGAGAAAATTCAGCTTCACAGGAACACGTTTTATTTTTAAATATATCAAATAGAAAACTTACTATTTTTACTATTTAACTATACTATTTTTTGTTGCTATTTTTACTGTACTTTTTGTCAAATAAATGCAGACTTAGTGAGCTTAAGCATTTATCAAGACAAAATAAAATATTCTTTCTGTTATGTAGGATTGCTAAGGGCTACCAGACATCCCCAGATCTACGACTGACCTGGCTGCAAAATATGGCCGGGAAGCACTCGGAGAGGAATAATCATGCAGAGGCAGCCCAGTGCTTAGTACACAGCGCTGCCCTGGTGGCTGAGTACCTCAGCATGCTGGAGGACCGCAAGTACCTGCCTGTGGGCTGTGTCACCTTTCAGGTTCCTGCCGCACCCTGTGACACAGAGAATAAAGAGTCAGTCGATTACTCTTTTAATGTAATATATTAATGAGATGTTTGTCACACCACAGAACATTTCCTCTAATGTGCTGGAAGAATCTGCTGTGTCAGATGACGTGGTGTCCCCAGACGAGGAGGGCATCTGCTCTGGGAAGTACTTCACTGAGGCAGGCTTAGTTGGGTTGCTGGAACAGGCTGCAGCCTCCTTTTCTATGGTGTGTTATTTACTCTGTGGCTTAAAAGACCTCTACTATGACTTTGACTACATTCTGTTTGTTTTAAAGGAATAGTTCACCCCAAAATGAAAATTTGTTGAAAATGTACTCACCTTCAGGCCATCCAAGATGTAGTTGAATTTGTTTCTTCATCGTAACAGATTTGGAGAAATGTAGCTTCACTTGCTCACCAAAGGATCCTCTGAATTGAATGGGTGCCGTCAGAATGAGAGTTTAGACAGCTGATAACAACATCACAATAATTCACAACTCCAGTCCATCAATTAATGTCTTGTGAAGTGAAAAGCTACGTGTTTGTTATAAACAAATTTAAGACCTTTTTAACTTCAAATCGTTGCTTCAAAAATACAAGTCCTCTATCCATAATATTGCTTTCTCCACTAAAAAAAGTTGTCAGCAGAGAAATGTACACAGATCAAGCTACATTTACAAGTGAAAACAGTTCTAAACAAACAAATATGTTGGTGGATTTGATGTGAGAGGACAACAGAGAATGGTCTTTTTCACTGGAGGAAGCATTATCATGGATTGCGGACTTTTTTTTTTCCCCCTCCAAGATATTAATTGATGGACTGGAGTTGTGTCGATCAATTGTAGATTATTACGATGTTTTTATCAGCTGTTTGGACTCTCATTCTGATGGCACCCATTCACTGCAGATGATCCATTGGTGAGCAAGTGAAGCTAAATTTCTCCAAATCTGTTCCAATGAAGATGATCTACATCTTGGATGGCCTGAGGGTGAATACATTTTCAGCAAATTTTCATTTTTGGGTGAATTATTAATTTATTTGTTTGCTATGTATAATAATATTTAGCTTGTTGAAGCAGTGTTTCATTATTTGTCTCCAGGCTGGTTTGTATGAAGCAGTGAACGAAGTCTACAAAGTGCTCATTCCTGTTCACGAGGCCAACAGGGATGCAAAGAAGCTAGCCACTATTCATGGTAAACTTCAGGAAGCCTTTGGCAAAATTGTACACCAGGTAAATGCTTATATTAAAAGGGTAGTTTTTATTGTTTTGGATCCTAAAATAAATGCTCCGTTTAGCCTCTTCATGCTGTAAAGTAGTATAAGAGAACAGGACTTTGTATTATTGCCCCAGTAGTAGAAAGCAACAACCTGCCAGATATCTAACTTGGCAACATTTTGCTTGTGTATACACATCAACGTGATTTATGTGTGACACGTGAAAGAGACTTTGCATTATCAAGACTGCATGACTGATTATCTCTTTTACATCAGAGTGACTGTGTGGTGCTGTGAATATGGGCTTCATTTAGTGAGATTTCCTGGGCGTTATGAATAGTATTCACACTGAGAAAAATAACTATAACGATAACTATATTAGCGTCCACACCAACATATAGTCTGTTTATAATAATTGTGTGCTGCAGTTATGTCATCTGCCACTCTAAATGCTGAAGTTCTTTACAGTCTGATGGATTCCGATTGGCTTTTTATAGTATAGAAATGTAAGTATCATTTTGTTAACATTTTATACATTACATTTTATACATTTTTTTTATACATTACATTTAGTCACATGGCAGACACTTTTATCCAAAGCGATTAGAAATGAGGACAATACAAGCAATCAAACCTACAAAAGAGCAATAATATGTAATATTTTATATATATATATATATATATATATATA